CATACCTGATAGAAGTAACACAGCCTCAATCTCCTAAATCTCTATACTGTCCACATCTTTACAGACTATTTTACATCTCATTGAGCAACCATTGCCATGACTGTGGCATCTTGACTCGTTTAGTTTTAAATTGTAATTAAAAATGTATCTAATCAACATTTTTCTGATTTCTATTAAAAGCAAAAGCAAAGGAACATGCAGCTCTCCTAGACTGTGGAAAAGGAGGAGAACCTGGTGGAGCTAAGAAGAGCATAAGTGCCCTCTTCCTTGTACCCTGATAGAGTGGACAGGAAAAAAGGTGGACAAAAATTGCTGTGGCTTTTGAAATCCCCTGTGAGTATCCTATAGCTAGCTAGTTAGCTAGCCATACTGTAGCATACTCACCTGGGAAATCTTTGGTCCTCATCTGGGATTTCATCCCTCGAGATCCCTGATGACAACCCCGTTTCTAACCATGTATAAGAGCTCAATCATTATTATTCTCTGGATTTGGTACATTTTGCCTCCAGGTCATGTAAAATAGTTTGCAGCTTGCTGTTTAGGGCTGGCAAGACTGCTCCTATTGGTTGTTGACAATGGTCTCATCATTGAACAACACAAAAACCAGACTAAATACCTTCAAAATATTAAACACAACAGGATACCGCCTGCACAGCCAACTTACACTCTTAGGTGCCTGTCATGTTTGATTTGATTTTAACACCAAGGCGAGAAAAAGACTGTTTAAAACAGCTTGGATTGAGTTTTATGACCAAGCTTGTCCCGGCTCTAGCCAAACTCTTGTGATTTTATTCTGACTTGAAATTTCTCTCTGACGTTGAAATCATTGGAAAAGTTGTTTGTTGTGAGGCCAGCATACCTTGGACGGATGCTGGTTCAGTGAAAGAGATAACAGAAAATGTATCCACGGTTATAAAAAAAAAAGGTGAGATTTGCCCTTAATGACAATGCTTAATAACTCTAAATGCCAATGTCGTTTTCAAAATTATCTTGCTTAAAAAACGAAAATGCATGGAGACAAAAACTGATAAAGAAAGACTACTTTGTTGCAGAAGAATACAACAAAAACCTTTAGAGCTTTGTTTTATTTTTAATTAAATGGTCCTTTCTTTCTAAGCACATTAACAGAACTTAGCAGATGCTCAAGAGCACGCCGTTTCTGGCTTGCTAAGCCGCTTGTCATCTCCAGATGTTGACTAGCAGAGGAGAGCGTCTTGACAGCTGAAGTAGTGCATGTATTTTTTAACAGTCAAAGCGAAGACAATGCAATAGAAAATCCCAGGGCGGGCATTTTCCCCAACACCACCATTCTGCAAAGGTTTTCTCAAACTACCCTGACCGTACCAGTTTAAAAAAAATACCCATACAACTCAGAGACATAACCCTCGAAAACAGCTCGAGCTGACAGGTCTGCATTTTATATAGAAGAAGATAGAGAGCAGGTGGAATCAGCGTGGTGATTTGTGCACGAGTGTATCCTTTTTATGTGAGAAGGTACATGCTCCATGTGTACTCAGCCACGGATGGTTGCTGTGAACAGATGTTAGGGATGATAGGTTACTACCGTTTATAAGTCACATGTGAGAGGTCGAGAACAAATTGAGTACAAATCGTCGTATCTTTACTCACATGCAACATCTGATGCCTCACTGGGTTTTATGCATGTGTGTGAACACCATTGCTTGTACATGCAGTCAGGCAAGCATTACAGAGCACAATCTGACAGGCTGCAGACACTTACATCACACCTATAGTATCCAAGTCGGCAAGGATTATGTGCATCCCAGGAAATGAACTACTAAATACCGTGCCTACTGAAGGTGCTCTGACCTTTGTGTTGTGTTCAGTCACATTTACAGGCAGAATAAAGGCACCGCTGGCTGCTTTAAAATCAACATGAGAATGTAACTATTTAAATGTAAGCAGTGAGCAGTGACAGCAGATCTGTGTTATATCATTCTAACAGTGTTTGGAACCACAGCCTTAATAGAATTGATGGGAAAAAAGAGGATTTAGTAGCTGATGGCAATTAAAGCAAAAGCCACATAGGTCGATTGGGATTCACTTTCAACATTTATGTTGTGTCTGAGTTATATTGTCTTCTTTGGGAGCTTACCAACTTTTCATACATGCCTTATTTTTATGGTATTTCATTTGAAGCTTGGAAGTCGTATAACTCCCATATTTGTCATGCAAATAGCCTATGAACCCACAGCCAGCTGCTGCTAGCTTACCTTAGAATAAAGACAGATGATTGGGGGAAACATCTTGCAAACCTGCTTGCATGCAAAGCTCACTTTTTCATGCTTTATATGTTGTTTGAGTTATCAGATAAACGTGTAGACTGAGGACACAGAAGACAGTCTGAAGTTTTAAAGAGTTTTTCGGGTTGGACTTTCCTCGGCTACAGACATGGACTTGGTTGGTTGCCCCGCCTTCTCATGTTGGTGACAACCCCAGCCAACGCTCAGTACCACACTAAACTTCCTTTAAATAATCAGTAACTTCAGTTAGAATTAAACAAAAACATATACTTTTTTCAAATAGTGCCATGGAGCCAGGCCAGACGTTTACCCACGGTTTTGGTTTTTCATGCTATACTAAGCTAAGTTGCTGTCTTTGTCTCTTTAGCATAAATGGCATCATGTTTTGTATCACCATACTTCATTTAAATCTCAGCATTAAAGAAATAATCCTGTTTAAAATACCAAACTATTCCTTTAAAGGCAGGGTTGTTAATTTTCTCCAGATACACTTTTTAAGATTTTGGTTGAATGTCTTCAGGTCCTGACAGACATTAATAACTCAGAAAAAAGGAACAAAGAAAATCCGTCATCTGTAGCAGTTGTAAGCATGTAAAAACTTCGACCAATGTCTGCCACGAGGTACCAATTTGATGAACCAATCACACGCCTCCCTGTCTCCCTGCCCATGCATGCACGAGTCCACACTCAAAGCGATGAGCTGAGGTCCGCTTCTGTACCAATGGCGCTTGTGCATGTAAGTGAGGGGCGTGGCTTTTGAGGTTGCATAGAGGGGAGGGGGTGGGTGCAGACAGCGCACTGAGGGAATGCTACCTTCAAAATCATGCTAGTTTTTTTTTAAATTACCAACCCTGCCTTTAAGTCTACTTTGTTGTATAAATAAATAAATAAAATGATGTAGCCTCTCTCTCTCTAGATCTCTAGATCAAAATATCTTCACCCCCTCACAATGAGTCATTTACAACAGCTCATCAGGGCAACAAGAATCATGCACTGTGTATAATTCTCATTAATCTTAAATTGTATTTTCAGCTCGACTATGCACGCACACTAACTTTTTTTGATGAGGACTCAGGGTGTCCTTACACTTCTCACCTCCTCCTCACAAAGTGTCTTAAGATGGACTCACTCCGAGGGCTTTAATGAACTGAGTATTTTTCCAGACAACTTGTTCTTGTTTTGTCCTTATGAAGCAGAGGAGCACTCACATCACTTACTCTGAACATCAGGCAATGCTGCATGCCATCTTTTTGCTACATTTCCTGTCATTTCTTGTGTCTGCAGTCTTTAAGTGGAGTGTGGATATTGCAGGGTAGAGGTGCGAGGGATGAAGTGGCATTCAACCAACAGTTACAGCCACATAAAGCCTTTATCACACCTAAACGGCTCTGTCTCCCAAAGCCGGAGTGAGATAAGCACTGCCCATTCATCTGTAATGATGTGGAAGCAAGACCCAACCTGAACTGAGTTGAGAGGGAAAAGCTAGCTCTGACACAGTGTAGATGGCTGAAAGGGGCGCAGGGCCATCAGGGTTTTTCTTGTTCAATCCTCAGATTAATGTGTGAAGAGGCTTTGATTCATTGTGTGTTCCTCTGTGGATTCAAGTTGATTTCAAGACAAGTGTTGTTACTCTGCAAAGAGCTGTAACTACCTGAGCGAGGAGTAGAAAGCAGCAGCCACAATACAACATGGTCATTAAAAAGTGTTCCTTTGGAGTGCAAATAAAGGTTTTTGCTACAAAACAGAATATCTTAGGCACTAGTAACCTTCTTTATTTTACTTCTGATCATTCAAAATCCCATATATTTATGTCTTTCTAAAGTGCTTACAATAAAAATAATGATGTAGTTCAACGTATTCACCATCTTAAATTAGCATGTTAGCATTCTGACATTATGAGCTAATTAGCAAGAAAACCTATAGCATAGCATGGGTTAGTTGGAGCTTATTAACATCGGCAACAAACTCATATTGCTATAGAGCCAACTGTGAGCATGGCAAGTTGACCTGTCTTTAAGCGTAGAGATAGCGTTGGAATTGTACGTTATAAACATTTAAAAATAACATGCAAGACTGCACAACAGAAAACAACAACAAATGAGTTAGCCCTGAGGACACACAGCAGTGTTTGAGACATCCATACACAAAGGATAGCATATCTTGGTGCACAATTTGACAATTCACTCTCACCACATTCAAATATAAATGTATTGCAGAACTTTACGACTTATGCATCGATAATTTACACTGAGAAGAAATCATTGTTGCTCTTTGTTTGTTCACTGCTACTCCATGCATGGAGTCTGCACCGTCGGGGTCCATGCAGATGAACTACTAGTTCTGTTGCATTAGCGGTGCTGTGACACAACAGAATTAGATTTAAGTGAACTTCATCCTAGGAGGTTACATTCTCACTGACATCAATATTGCCAGGTTAAATCAATTATGTAGAAGAGCACTTAATCAAATCATATTACAGATATAACTCTTGGTGTCTGTTGTAGTCGACAGATTACCTAGATTTAGCCTGGGGATAATCTGAATGTTCCACAAAGGAGACTTCTGCAGTCAAGTATCATTATCTCTTCCTTTTTTACTGAACAGACACTTCATCTTTGGTAAAATCATGTTGTCCTCTTGTGCCTTTTTAAACACACTGACGGGTCTTAAAGAGCACACCTGTTCACACACACACACACACTGACTGAAACCCCGCTACTTTTGTGTGTCTTTCAGGTGTAATTGGCTTCCTGACTGCAGCTCTGGACCCATCAGGAGATCCAAAGAGGAAGACGGATGAGACCACAGTGTCTACCTGAGAATGCTACCTGTCCAATTGCCTCACCATGTCACTATAGGAGAACTGTTAACCTGTCCCCATCCACAAATCCTCTTTTTTCCTTCGTTATCCCCAGTAAACCTCTGAGTTTGTGGTCCCTCTCTACACCCCTCCTGAAGTGAAATGACTAAGAGAGCTTTTATTTTGGACATGTTGTTTTTTCCTCTCAATGCTGCCAGCCACCAGGGCTATGGTGGAAAGCGTCATTATACATCACAGCAGGTCGCCAATCACTGTCTGCTGTGGCTACTGGGACTGGTTTTACACCTCACTCTTTCCACATGTCAACGAGTCGACCTGAAGCACCCCATAGTATCCACAGGCTACGGGAAAGTCCGTGGGATCAGAAAGGAGCTGAACAATGAGATCCTGGGTCCTGTGGAACAGTTCTTAGGTGTGCCATATGCCACTGCACCTATCGGGGAGCGTCGCTTCCAGCCTCCTGAGGCTCCAGGATCCTGGCAAGAGATCCGCAACGCCACCCAGTTTGCCCCGGTGTGTCCCCAGAATGTGCACGGGGTTTTACCTGAGATCATGCTACCCGTGTGGTTCACAGACAACCTGGATGCTGCAGCGACTTATGTCCAGAACCAGAGCGAAGACTGCCTTTACCTCAACATCTACATACCTACTGAAGATGGTGAGTTAGACGCACCTTTTATACTAAACATAGGAAGAGATGGACTTAACGGCCCAGAGAAATGTCAACATAAAGTAAGAGTAAAATACAAAATCAGCCTCTACGTTGGATAAAACACTTTATTAACATTTGGTACTTTTTTATCAATTTCATGGATTGTCACTTCTGCAGTACCTAGTAGTTTGACTCAATTATATCCAGTAGAAGAAGAGCCCTTATGGTGAGCAAAAAACGCCCAAGAGATTACTGAGTAATATATTCTGTGTTAATCTCCTGGGCTTGTATTAATGTCAGTCTTAATGATTATTTGTTAAACAGTCTAATCATTTTCTGGATATACATACTGCGGCAAAGTCACAGAGACAATCTTTCTTGTGCTTAATCTCCTACACGTACTGTATTTTGTATTGCTCACATTCAATTAATTTTAAATTTAAGCAGATTTTGTACCAATTAGCTGCATAGACACATGCTACCTTTTGTCCTGACATGTTTAAACCAAGCATTAACATTATATCTTAAAATACTGACTGTCATAGTTTAATGTGACAAAACAAAAGTGTTGAGTAGAAAGCCTATACAGTAAGTAGCTAACAAGGCAGATGGTGACATGACTGCAACAATCAGTGGACTGTTTCACTGCTTATTAATTCAGTGATTGTGCCAGTCATTAAGTCATATTTTTTCAAGAGAGTTGCTGACTTGTGATTTCTACTGTAAAGACCTTAAAACATAAGAACTGCATATGAACTGCCCTGGATGAAAATCTGTTCAAATATTTATCTGAACGTAAATTAAGCAAAAATGTATCCATGTAAAAAATTCTATGGGAAAAACAAAAAAAATACTGCAACCAGCATCCATCCACTGCTACATTAAAGAATCCCTTTCGTATAAATTGGCCTTCTATTTTTATTTTATAGTTTAATATTCAGCTGGTATTGCCCTCCCTAGCTCATGACTTCTAATAACTTTGTACAACATTTCTACAGAAATGTAAAATATCTGAAAAAGTGCTGCTCAAAAAAATCATGCTAGCAGATTAGCACATTAGCTGTTGGACTAGCTTTTTAATTTGTTTTTAGAGTATATAAAAAATGTCATTGCATACATTTTATTGTTAACAAATAGACTCAACTAACCTGCACTATTTTTATTATTTCAGTAAGAAATGACATTCACCTTTTCTGATATTGCATTATTGTTGAACAAACGGATGAACCCTCTTGTGACTAACTGACTTTATTTTAGCTACAATAGTGGTGAGAATCAAAGGTAACTCACAATAACATATGATACCCAAAATGATACGGCTCTTCTGCGATAATTAATCCATCGCAGGACAATTATATGATGATACACCACCACGATCTCTGATTCACTGCAAAGTACAAAATTCCTCTAAAAAGGTAGGAGAGTGCAGAATAGTGTATTTATTCACTGTAATTTGATGCTAGTTTCACCTCCTGTCATGCTTCGTCTCTTAGCTTCTTTTCAGCGATATCCAACATTATCCCACTGTCTTTTCCTTATCTTTTATCTGCTGTTTCTTCCTTTTCAGCCAATTAACTTCCGTTCAATTTGCCTCGTTTATGTCATAAGCTCCACTGTAAAGGAGTCCTGAATTAGTGAATTGGTGAGACAAATTGGCAGGGGAAACTCATAGCTTGTTTTTTTTTTAAACTAAAGTATCGCTGTATGGCACCAGTGATAGAATAATTGTATTTAGGATGATGATAAATTCACCATATGGATATTTTGTCCTGACCCTATTTACAAACTGTCTCAACCAGGCTGCGTTTTGGATCAACAAAGAGAAGTAGTGATTTAGCTTTTGGTCATGTTGAATTGTGGTTTTAAAACCTAAAAAACCTGACTAAATTAAGAAGATTCACACACTGGTTACATGGCTGTACTTGGATGAGTCATTTCCACCTCTCCTGCTCCTCAGGTTTGCATTGCATGGATGTGGCACTGTAGTTACTGACAAAAAAAAACAGAAAATATAACTATATAGACAGTATTCTTTGGCCCTCCTCCTGAGGTAAAATTAGTGAAAAATAGAAGATCACTATGAAGCTAAACCTGCAGCTCTTCATGGGTTGTCTGGGTTTACTTCTTGCATTAATGATCCAGTTGAAAGCTTTTGAGAAAGCAGATGGGCAGGTAAAAAAGACAGGATCAAAGTGTAAGTTTGGAGCCAAAGCATATGCTGCTCATGATAGTGAGCAAGGTTAATGATTAAATGTTAAAAAGTCTACGATTAATGGGCTCACCTGAGAGTTACCTGAGAGTACACAAGAAAACACATGTTTATGCATTAGGGCTGCTTCTTAACAAAGTCATTGTTGTATTTTAACTCTGAAGCTGAAAGCATAACCTACTTAGTTAGACTGTGTCAGTGAGGAGAATAGTTGCTTATTGTTCCTCCATGGGCCAACAAAAAGATGGAGACAGATTAATTGCTGTGGGAAAATATCAAATGTTTATTGTAGTATGAATTAAAATCAGAGCACCAGAGATGCTTTGAACAAGAGATAAGGGAACAAAAAAAGTCAAATGAATTAAACCGCCCTAAAAATAAAGGAATGTGTACTAACTCGAGTCGACTACGCTCTCTGGTTACAGTATGCACGCTGTGTTGTACACATATATCACATTCTCACAGACAGGACGTACAGTCTCCTGTGTCATTCCCAAAGGAGAAGGTGTGCAAATGAGTGAGACTGATTTTACATGTAGCCCTGTCTGCTTGTCAGAATCTGTCACTTACTGTCAAGGGTCACTGCTTACACAAGGCTGATGCCGTCCCCAAGGACGTGTTTTGCCTTGTGTGTGAGAGAGAACTCGAGACTGAAAGAGAGTAAAGTGCCCCTGAAATCAAACACACACACTACGTTTTAGCTTGTAACTGCTGTCACAGTCCTGCAAATATTTTACATGATGTTAGACTTGTGAATATGTAAGAAGTACCAGCTTCAAGCCTTGTAAACTTTGTTCCAAATTTTAAGTATTTTGTTATGTCGTTCAATGTGCATGACTAAATGAACAAGGAAGTTAGAGTTCAGGAGAAAGGCTCCTTAAAGTATTGTGATGAGGTACCAGACACAATCAGAACTGCGAGAGTGTCTTCTATTCATTTATAAGCACATTTTAAGCTTAAAGATGACACACAAAATATGGAAGTCAGAATCAACACTGTCCCCTTGTTTGATATAAGACTGGCTGTCTTTTCAAATATCTTGAACTGTCAGCACAGTGTGAAACATTTTAAGTATTTTGTCCCCAATGTGTCTTTAAATAGTCTGCCTTCAGCACAGCTTTAGCTTTTAGCAAAACTAGCAAACATCTTTCGGGATGGTAATGTCCAGACTGAAACATCCCTGCAACTTTAATAGACATTCAAGGTTTTGCGCCAGACATGTGCATGAGAACTTCCTTTGTGAAAAATCTCAGCAACTGTTAAATGATTCAACACCAATTTTTGAAAATTCATTAATAATCCCCAGAGGTTAAGTTCCTAATACATTGGTAATATCCTTATTGCTCACACTTTGGTGATACCCTTATTATTTCCCTTTCATCACCAGCAAAAGAAGTTTTAGTGAATTGTATCCACCACTCCAGGACAGGTTGCAAAGGGATTTGGTTCAGACATTCGTGCTTCCACAAGTGCTTCATAATAAACCCTTTTTTTTTTTCTTCGATCAGTAGAAACAGATTCATGGTCAAGGGCTGTGTTTAAAGATGAAACGTTTCTGAGAAACTTTCATCCCAGTGCATTTTATTTCTTCAGGTAGGTTGAAATTTTGATAAAAAATGGCAGCATCAGGGCCAACAAAAGTTTGTTCCAACAAAACTTTCTCTTCAGTTGTCGGAAATTTGCCAAATTTGAATCATGTGAATCCATGCCAAAGTTGTCTGCTGTAAAGTTTTTGTAAGTTTGTGGCAAGTTCAGTAGCAGAAGGTTTTTCTTTTTCCAGCATCTCAAACAGATGCATAAAACCAAGTGGTAGAAGTGTGTGATGGTGAGCTGGACAGGAAAAACCAAATGTAGCTGTTTAAAAGCAGATATCATAAGCATCTTAAAAAAAAGGGCAACATCCTAACTCGGATGTGTCGTCTTGTAGTTGTTTAGTTGCTTTTAATGTGAAGTCCATTTACCTCAGAAGTTGGATGTCAGAGCTGGGAATGACGTCAAACCCGGGTTGACTGCGTTCAATTACGAGTTGGCAACAAGTTGAACAAGCTACATGAAGCGTCAAGGAGTACCTTTGTTGTGTTCGCTAATACAAGGCGATGACAACACACAATGGGCAAGTTTTCTGGCAGAAGAAGCATAACAACATGTCGCCTGATAGAATTGTCACAATACTATCAGTGTGATCGATTGAATTACACTAAAACACTACTAAGTTGTCAGTTAACGCTGGCTTACAATGCACTGTTGATGCTCAAAGCAGCCATGTTGGATATGTACTCGGACTACTGAAGTTCAGGATTCCTACTTCAGGGGACGTTCCAAACTCTGAATTTCTGACTTCCTTGATCAAATGGATGACCATAATTCATATTGGCCAGCTGTACGACTGTATCTCAATCACTTTGATGACCATTGACCTCCTCAGTCAAATCAACCACTGCACAATCAGATGATATCGTGGTTTGTGGATATTTTTCCATTAGTTTATCTAAAGCGATCCATGTCCCTTTTGGTCTTTTCACTAAGCATTACCTTCCGGTCAAAATGAAGAGCAATCCAATATGACTCAAAAAACAAAAACCTGCAAACTAATGACAGCTGAAGCAGTTTCTACATCCTGTTCAGTGCTAAATAGTTACTGCCATCAACTCAGATGTTGTAGGTTGTAAGCATTTACTTTCTTCAATACACGTTAGCAAATGTTACTGCTGACAGTGAGTGACTTTTAGCATGCTGATGCACATGCCATTGCACAAAGCACCACTGTGCCTATGTTCAGCCTCTTAGACTGTATGGTTGGCTATAGACTCTGGCGCTACAGCTGTTTAGCCTGCAGGTTAGCTTGCTAGCCCCTGTACCAATGAATGAGGCCTGTCATGTTCAAAGGGAGCTTGTCAGTGCTAACTTGTGCTGTGTTTGGCAGCCAGCAGCTGCATCCCCACTCTTGGTGAATGTAGGTGGGCCAAAATGAATTGGCAGCACAGAATCATATGCAGCCCAGATCAAAATGTTTTGGAGCCAAATCTGGCCTGTGAAACTTAATTTCAACACATTTAATCTCAAAAGTACATTATGTATTATCCTATTACCCTCTCTTTCTACCTTAAGTCAGGCCCGTGTCTGATATGATCGGTTTCCGAGCCGAAAAAACTCCTACTGAACATGTTCTCAGCTTTATTCTTTGGACAAAAGAAAATTCATTGCTCTCTTTTCTTTCTGCATCTGTTCAACCCTTCTGCTCTCTCCTCCCTGAAATCATCCCTGCCTCGTCTCCTCTCTCCTCTCCTCCATCTTTATGCAGATGGCGGTAGAAGGGGTCACTGTTCTGAATGCAAATAGGTTTTTTGCCCTTTCTCACCAGGCCACTATGTAGCCTGCTACTTTTTGAACTCAAATTAACTCAAATAACTTGTAGAGTATTATAAATAAAGCAAATGTTCTTGAGAATTTAGGAATCATTTTTAAACTCGCCTGTTCTCTTTCCCTCGCCCCCTCCTACAGTGACTCTTCCTCCCTGACTCTCCTTTGTGGCCGGAGCAATGTCTCACCGCATTCCTATTTCCTCAAGACACTCCTCAGCCAAGGGCCTAAGATCCTTCATTTTTATTGCTGCTAGAGCAGCCATTTACAGTGCTCTTTATTAAAAACCATATTTCAGGAGGCAGGACAGTGGAGGCAGCCATGGAGCTGGGGGCAGGGGGTGCATGGTAGAAAAGATGGAGAGCGTGAGGAAAGGACTGCATGTGCTGGAAGCCGCCTGCATGCAGGAGGGTTGAACCAAAGCTGTGTCTGACACCTTGTCAAGCAGACAGGCCACCATAGACTTGACATACTGCAGCTTCATCCCGTTTACTGTGCTGAGGAAATGGACAGGGACGGGAGACAGCTTGCGCTCTGGCCACCAGCTCACTGAACCGAACAGAAACTCTGTTGACTGAGAGATGGATACGCGTTAGGTCACACAGTACTGGGACAACCCGAGCTAAATGTTGCTGTTTAGGCCAATGAATTTCACTGACCAGTGGCCCATTACAGCATGTGACAGCCAACTTACCGGCAGGCTACTCTACCAGGACAGATGGGAAAGATGTTCTGAACCTAAGTGTTTTTCCCTTTGGCTATTTCCTAATTTGTGTCTCACTCATTGTAGTAATTCTTCAAAAGTCTGAATTCAGTGTCAGAAGTCCTCGTCCTGACCTACATGGGTTTCAAAGAAATAATTTAGTCTGACAAATTCCTTATATAGTTTTTTTTGGTAATGAACTCCTAAATATTTAGAATCTAGCCAAGCTGAACATCTCCAGAGAAGTGCAAGCTCTAAGTTAACCAAAAAATGCTACAGTAACAGATTGTCCTGAAATGATTTAAACATTACAGTAGTCAATGGAACAATAGCTATTGAAAAATGATAAAAGTCATTGACCAAGCTCTTATCGTATATGTAAAGCATTTGCTTTTCTCCCTTTTAATATCTTTTCAAATTGAACACCTTGTAGCCTTGCTTGCAGTATTGTTAGATCTATAATGAAAATCCCATTGTGAACATGTTCGCATGCCATTGCTAGCATTTAGCATAGAGATGTTTATGGGCTGAGGAGACCCTGTTGGACTCTTACTTTTTCATCTCGCGTTCAGGAAACTGTGATTTACCTTTCAACAATGTTTTGACTTTCTAAACACTCAAGAAAAATGACATTAAAAAAATCTTAAACACTCCAGTACTTATTTTCAGGTTCTGTCCACATGAAGTCTCAGGTGTGATGGCCCGTTCCAAAGCATGCGACTAGGCTATTTTATTCTCGTGTAGGTTCTATCCTTATTAGGCATTAGAAAAGGAATGAAATCAGAGTCTCCATTAAGCGGCGAGGTGTGGTTTTAGAGTGGTGCTGAGTAATGGGGAAGTGCTGACAAGACGGGAGACTAATGTTCCTTTTTATCCATTACCGGTCTGCCTACCTGTTAGCTCTGTATCTCAGACCCAAACACTGTACCATCTCCCTCCATGGAAGGAGGTTCTCTGTGGATCCGGCGCCTGCATGGTGCTACTCTAAGGATGCTGAAAATCTATTCAGCATTGATCCTTTTCCATTTAGACAAAAGATAAACATTTTATAGCAGGAAACCATATTCATATAGAGGGTGAGAAAGCAGCATTATGATGGTGGAGTGCAGTAATGCTCTCTCTCTCCTTTGTCATTAGACTTTAGAAAAAAACGAAGAGAAAAGGTCTCCACTGTCTCTTCTTTTTGAGGTTTCCTGCAGAATGGATGAAACAGACATGTCAGCGTCACACTGGCAGAGTGATAAAACCCCATGGCAACCACACGTAGAGTTTTCTTTAAAATGTGAGAGCGTGACGCCTCGCCGCTGGAGAGCAGGGAATGTGCTGCTGGGTGGGTTTAAGGAGGACAGCAATAGATGATAAGGACACTGTTAGCATGCCTTGAGTAGCATGTAGACGTTTAATGTGTGTCTAAGACGTGCGCTTGTAGACAGTGTGTCGAACGATGTGGAGGAAGAAAAGCAGAGGTAATTGCGGGCTGATGGAAAGCTCCACTGACAGAAACCAAGAGAAAACAAATTAATGGGATCCTTATCAGTTAAGACTTACAGAGGTTGACGTGCCGGGGCGTCTCTTGGTCACTGTGATGAATGCTTGTTATTGGCTGTGCCTTGTGGAGCATTTAACTAGCTTTGCCATTACAGCTCATTGTAGGGCTCCTCTTTGACCTTGATGAGGGGAATCCTGTCACAAGGCTTCACTGGCCCTCTAATTATTAAGAACAGATGCCTCTATTTTACAAATTTGTGGAAAATAAAGACTCTCATTCCAGGCTTACTTCCCTGTGCTCAATGAAGGTACTTGTCACATGTTCTCAGGATGAGTATGTGTGCTTGTCTGCGTGTGTTTGTGTGTCTTCAGTGGTGTGTTTTGACAGTGTAGAGTCTCTCTGGATATTGCAGGGGACTGTTAGCCGGAGGACTGCAGCACCGTCCTGAGCACAAGCAGTATACACACACACACACACACACACACACACACACACACAGTCTTGGCATTCCTTTGCTTTTCCTGACTGAAAAGAGTGATGGCTTGATTCTGCTCATTGATTTTTCTTTACAAAGTAGCAGAGTGTCAGGACTGATTGGGGAGAAGGGGTTGAGGAGAAGTGGCCCCTGGGGTCATTTACGAGGCAGTCCGTGACTAGATCCTAAGCAGTTAGAACAGATGAGTTTGGGGGTTATCTTTTGAGGAAACAGAATGTAATCCTTTTGAACATTTGGCCACTAAAAGATCTCATCTCTTGCCTGCTTTTCTCTTTGAATCTGTGCTCGTTTTTCTGTAAATGCCACCTTTTTTTGAATTTTTCCCTCTTCTTCTTCTTCTTCACCTTTAGGGCCGCTCACAAAAAAACAAGATGAGTCTACGATGAACAGACCAAGGGATGAAGGTACTTAAAATGCATGTTTTTTTTTTTTCCTTTCTTCTGCTCCATTTTTCAAACTCTGTGGGGAATTTTGTGTTTGTATCTGTGTTAATAATAATAATCATCTAAGACTCATCACTCTGTGTGCACATTATAACGTCTTCGGTTAACCCCTCCTTTTGAACGTAAATCTATCATTCCTTTTAGCTAAATCCTATTTAGACTTCCATATAAAAAATACTTGTTTTTCATTCCAAACACAGCCTTTCGTGCACCGAGCTAATTCACTTCCTCTCTCGGTTGCTATGTGGTTGATCAACCACACACTGACGTCCTGACCATCCTGTTTAATGCACCACTGAAAATCAATATTCTGTCCTTTTTCACCTTTGCTATTATACTTGTACTAAGTCTTTACTGAAACGTTCTTCTAAATTGTTGTCCTTCATAATGTTATTGGGCATCCTCCAATTCTTCTTCTTCTTATTTCTGCCTTTGCTCTTTATTTTCAAGTTCACAGCATTCAAAAGGAGACTCTCTCATTACCCTCTCTGAATCCGTGTAGACACTGTGTGCATCTGTTCCTGTACACGTGCCTCGGCGTACTGTATATTACATAGCATTATGCACACATAGAGTGCATTACATTTGCATTTGTGCATGTAGGTCTACTCAAACTCAGCGCATGTGCAAGTGTATGCCTGAGTGCATATGCTCTAATTTGTGCCAGTGTGTGTGGTTTTTTCCTCTATTTTCTTTTTTTTTTTTTTGTATTTCAGGCTCTGTGCTATTTAGGTATTGAATTCTCTCTCCCTTGCATCTCTAATTGCTATGGTTTAAAAAGAGACAGATGTAGCTAATCCAATTGTGTGGTTTCTTAACGGTGAAAACAGAAGGAAGGATTCATGCAGGATTGCCTAGGAGAGGAGCAGAATGATAGAATAGAGATGAAAGAAAAGGAAAAAAGACTGAGCCCTGTGAGAGCACCAGGGAGGGCAATGAGGGGGAGAGAGAGAGAGAGAGAGAGAGAGAGAGAGAGAGAGAAAGAGTAAAGGGGGGGGGATAGTCATAATGAAGACAAGTGCATGATGAAATGACATTTATAGAGCTTTGAAAGTGAGAGAGATGTAGGGAAAGAGAGATTGAGAGGGTGGATGAGTAGGAGACTGGTGGAGCTTGACATTTATGCCGACACCTGATGGATTTTGACAGGATCGGGAGGGCTCGGGTAGGGCTTGAATTCCTTGCTTAATTGCTCGGGTGTGGAAGGGAAACAGGTTTCCAAATATTTTTGGGAAATACTATTATTGGTGTCTTGTTTTGGAAAGAAAGAAACTCAATTGCTTGGTCTTGGACGCAAACATTATGCAGGGCGAAAGTTTTACGCCTAAATCAAATTGAGATTTAGAAAATATATTTGAGAGGAGCAGACTAATGGAAAAAGAAGCAGTTTCCATTGGGAGGTAAGGCATTACTTTGAGAATATATTTAAGGGAGAGTTGGATTTTGAGGATAGCAGGTTAGGTAGAGAAGCGAGGAGTGGATAATGTGCCAGTGTTTTTGAGGCCAGCAGGCAGGAGAGACAGTGAGCTCCTTGTTGGCCTCAGATTTGGGCTGAGTGAGACACTTTCACCCTGCGACCCTGCACCCCTAAACGCCCCTCTGTTTGTGCTGAGCCCCCTTAACAACATGGTACAACTTTCATCCCATCAAACCACTCCTCGTCTTCTTCTTCTTCTTTTTGTACACCAAAGAGTCTTTTAAAAATCTCATGCAATTTACGGTATCTTCAACTTGTTAGTTTCACCGGAGACAGATTCACATTTTCTCACCATCTGTCCAGGGTTTTGATGAAATAAACTAGCCAAATGTTCTGTTTAAGCTTACCTGATAAAAGTCTAAAGCCCCACAAATGTTGTCCGAAGTGATGGGAAAAGACAGCCAAAAAGGTTTTCCTCTTCTTCATGACTTAGACCCTTAGACTACCTTTCATTAAAGCATTGTAGGTATGCATGAGCTTTTTATCTTCCAGTCCAAAATGATTGGATTTTTATTTTTACTCCTTTACTTCATTGAGCTTAGTAAATGATTGAGTTACAACTTCAATATTTTTTCAGAAGTCTTGCTGGTTCTAGGTTATTAGAAAAACAAAAGTTTTCCTCCCTTCTTTAATTCACAGTTTCACAATTTTTCAACATAAAGGAGTCAAAGTTCTCATTTGGAATTAACTTCGATAGTTATCCACCTCAAACAGTGCTGACCTTGATATGTAAGAGGATAAGAACTGAAATACGTTGTCCCTTTATGAAAGTCAGAGCTGACATTTTTAAATGCTAACAAAAGTGGTTGATCTTGCAAAGTTAAAATTGCATGTTAATCAAGTTTTCCACAACATCACAAGTTCTGTCTGACAATAAAAGCAACCATCGTGTTTTGTTTGTTTGTTTTTTTAAAACAAAATGAAGCTTCATTGTGAAAAGACAATGTCTAGTCATTCCATATGGAGCAGAGGGCGCTTCCTGGAACCAGTCGCCAAAGAAACCATTGGACATTTAACTCTTACTACTTTATAACTTAACTTTATTTTTAAAGCACTGATACATAATACAGTCAGTTGACAGAGCTTTAGAGCACACAGAGAGACAGTTATATACTATAAAACTCAAGGTAGAACAAGGAATAGAACCCTTTTGTGTCTTCATAAGGAGCTGTGCTAAGTCTAATAAAATGGCTCAAGTGACATCACTGTGTTTCTTTTGGCTTGATAAGAATGTAATTAAAAATTTTATGGTGTCGAATTGTTAACCCCCCCAGTCATCTCTGTCTGAGACTCACTGAAGGCTAGGTGCTGTTAGCATAAAACACCTAAATCGCTAATTAACTAGGCTGGTGGATGTCAAGTTGCGTTGTGGATTATGAAGGTAGCATGCTTTCACTAGAAGAATGTTTTGGATTAAAAAACACAAATGATCTTTCCATGTGACTAATAGGTAAAATCATACAAATAACATATTTAAGTTTGGATGGCTTGACCTACAGTATTTACAATAATCATACTGTACTACTGTAATACTACTGCATGTGACTGCCCGCTTACCTTAACAGGAAGCAGCTGGGCAACCTTTTTGTAATTGACCTGATGAATGTCTTAATGGCCCAAATACGTCAGAAGCATGTTATATTACGAGTGTGATATCTTGAAGAAATAAAGGCTTTTTAGAATTACCCCTAGAAGGGCCTCAGGTGTGTCAGTTGCGCCTTTCAAACATGCACTTCTGAAGATGTCTGTAAAATTCAGGACATCCCGCCCCTGATATTTTCCACAGTTGCCCTTTCACACATGACCCTTACTGTTGCGCCCCACCCTAAGCCGGCCCTATGGGGCCAAAAACTATGCACAGAGGGACTCAATAGAGCACTTAAAAACCTTTACGAAAACCAAGGAATTTATCATTTATAGACAAACAAGGAACTAAATTATAAAGATCAACTAAAGGCTAACACAATACAACAACACATAATCCCTGTTAGAGGTGACAACACAGTAGTCCCAACTTCAAATGCCTCAGCCTCCGAATTTAGCACTGAGCTTTTAAGCACTGGGGCCAGCTGCACCTCATTGTGCAATCAGTAGCTTCACCCAGGCAGAGCAGGAGACAACAGAGAAGGGACACACAGCACGGGAACAATTTACAGCAGCCGTAATGGTGGGTGGGGTGAAAAGGGTTGCTTTTGAAGTCCATAATGTTTATAACAAATCCACCAATGGGTACCAATAAAGTAACCTGAACCTGAACATATCCAAGATGGCCACAAAAGGAACCAAGTCTGACTCTATGAAGACGGTTTTTTCCTTTATATCAATGTAATTGGACATACTTTCATTCATTAATACATAGTATTAATAAAAGATTGGAAAAAGAAGCAGTGGTGAGAAGAAAAGAGTATGAGGAAGCTTCATAACATGTACGCCGACTGTACCGGACGCGCACCAGTCACATGATACAAATGTCATAACCCCATCCTGCTCTCTCACAGCGAATTATCCTGAATAGCACCTGCTGTGCTCACACATCAGCTCACCCTGACTTCTTGTGGAAGTTTATTGCGGGCTGGCATGAAATTTGTACAAGTGCATTTCATGTGTGAGAAGGGCTAATTCGAAATGTGGATCCCCACACTGAAGAGCACCAAAGGGACACCTATCAATCACACCCATGCAGCACATCATGCACCTGCTTTTTGACAATAGTCTTAATGTTATCCACCATGAGTCCTACAAAATCATTGTAAGAGCACAATGCCTAATCATTGGAGTGCTTTTTAATGTTTTAACAGGTAGGTTTACATCAAGTAAGTTTTCATGAGTACTCTCTGTAAGCTCACTGAAAGATTGATTTACATGTTATAAATACAATAGTTGGTGGTTGTAAACGGCAGCTACATGTTACTGCATATGCCCCGTCCTCTGAAGATTAAAGTGATGGTATGAATGTTATGTGATGGCCTGCTACAGTATGTCACTCCTCCATACTGTCCCAGTAACGCCGGGATAATTGAACTTGTTTACATATCCTCTGGGAAATCAGCCGGGTTCAGAATACACCAGAGAGGAAAAGGGAAAAAAAAAGCAGCATGTTGGAGTGTACAACTGAATATCTTTTATTTTTAGCCAGTCTTCTTGTGTCGCATGTGTGAAGCCATATGTGCCATTTTGCTGTGTTCACTTATATGTGTGTGTGTGTGTGTGTGTGTGTGTGTGTGGGGGGGGGGGGGGGCTGTGAGTGACGCACCCAAGTGCATGTGTAACCTGAGATTCAGGTGGTGATGCAGGCGGGTGTGCAAATGCGTGAGTAGAATTTGTTACCAAGGCAACAGGCATTCAGTAAGTCGGTGCGATGGAATGGCTGGTGCAGTTCTATTAGCGAGAAGCAGTTTCCATAGCGACTCAACATCGCAGCTGCCTATGCAAGACTTTGTGTGTGTGTGTGTGTGTGTGTGTGTGTGCGCGTGTGTGTGTGTGTGTGCGTGCGTGCGTGTGTGTGTGTGTTGACTTTGTGTGTGTGTGTGTGTGTGTGTGTGTGTGTGCGCGTGTGTGTGTGTGTGTGCGTGCGTGCGTGTGTGTGTGTGTTTGTGTGTCTCTGGATGAATACGGTGTGTGAATTTGAGTGTTCATTAGCATGACTCTATGTGTATGACTTGCTTTGTAACATCTCATATCGTTTTTTTTTCATCCTCCTCTCCATCGTGTTGTTTTTGGTTTGAAGCTCCCATCCACGTTCTCTCACACTGCCCTATTTTCATCTCCTCTCTCTCACTGTCTTTCCCCATTTTATCTCTCTCTCCTCCTATCTCTCTGTCTCCCCATTTCTGAGTGCTGAAGCTCATCAGGGTAAACAGATGCTGTGGCTGTTATTTATGTTTCCACTTCGTCTGGCTTTCATACAAATTATCCACAGGCCCTGCACAGTGCAGAAGCTCTGCCTAAATGGGCTGCACTGGCAGCCCTCTCAGCCTCATCCATGTGCAACCACTCCGACCAAACCACAGACGCAAGGGTGGGGGGGATGTCATACAGCGAGGGGGGGGACCATAGCAACACTTGCATGTATAGGTACCAAGACACCAATAACAGATGGGGTATCAAAACTGGATGCAGTGTTTGATCCCCACATTGAGGTTTGAGAAGGTACCATACCATACAAATAAATACTGTTAAGGAGTACTGGTACTTAATATATTTAGGAGTTTCACTGCTTTACCTTGCCTGCAGACAGCCCTGTTCTAAAGCAAACAAGTTTGGTGTTCCTATGCAGGATGCACATTGAGGCTGTTTCTACGATAGGTTTTCTTCTTCGTATCTGTTGTATGTTCAGTAAACCACTGATACAAACAGCCTATCTGATGAAGTCTGCTGCAAGGGTATGATTACAGAACAGTTTTTATTTTATTAGTCTTTATTTTTGGATGGACTCTTTAAACCAGCTGATTTATGTTTTCTTTCCATCCTCAGCTACAGCAGTACCTAGTTAAGCTTCTGTTTCGTTCTCCGTTGCTATGCGAAGGACGTCCAAATAAAGGATGAATGAAAATACAAATGCTGACCTCTGTTTATGTGTCTTGTGCAGATATTCGAGACCGTCGTAAGAAGCCTGTGATGCTCTTCATCCATGGGGGCTCCTACATGGAGGGCTCAGGGAACTTGTTTGACGGCAGCGTCCTCGCCGCCTATGGAAACGTCATCGTGGTAACCATGAACTATCGCCTCGGTGTGCTTGGTAAGTTTTGGTGTGCAGAATCCTGCAGACGTTTCCATGTGATGGAAATGTTTCCAACTTTTGTTTAACATCTTTCATCTGACCTTGAGCAGCTCATGTGTGTCAGAGGGATGATGTCAAAATATGTACACACACAGAGGTCGATGTATAAAAAATAGCACATGGTGATAAACAAGGCATTATGATTCATGTCCCCTCATACATCACGGAGGACAAACTATGTACAGGAAAGGAAATTAAAGCTCCACCTGCAGGCTCCTACTCTAAGTCTCATATTGTCCTCTATATGAAAGTATCCCAAGTGCCTGTAATAACATACTCTGTAAAAATGCTTTTTGAGTTTTGGTCATGAAGCATCCACTCACCATAAATAATTTCAGCATTGTTGACATGCTGCTGCTTAGACAACATGTAAGAGAAAGTGCAGGCAGAATGCACAAAGAAACAGACGGTTATAAACCGTGACTTTAAGGGAGCTGATATGAGACAATATCCCATCCAAAGATTTTTTTTTTAAAATCCTAACAAAAGCAGGAAACATTATACTTGATCATTGTGTATGTAAGGGAAAATGTGAAGTGAGCAGGTTGTTGTTGTGCAATGGAACCCCCCCGACAGGGTGCGGACCCTGAGACGAGACTATTTATTTTCTCCTGCTAAACCATTAATCAGTTGGAATCCACAGTTAGAGATCCGTTCATAGCACTGGTATAACTAAAGCCTTCTTAAAGTTAGCTCACCTAGCTTTCATTACTCACATGAAACTAACATTTGCACTGATGGTGAAATGAAACAACTCGAGAATGAGTGTGTCTGCTTCGTCACCGTGGACGTCTGTTGGCATTTTCTGTTCCATTCACCAGTCTTCAACCACCTCCATATCTCATGCCTCGTAAACGTCCCATGTTCACTTTATGTGCCGTCTTCAATTCTGTGGGTTTTCTCCGTCAAAGCCTGCGGTATTTGCGTTTTTTTAACCTCTCTCTTCTGGTTATTATCCTCTCCTTTCTCTTTTCCCTCAGAGTAAACAGACCAACATCAAATAAACCAGATTTCTTTCCACAGATTGATATCATTACAGTTAGTCGTCCAGAGTCTGTGATAAGAGCAGTGTCCCTAGCAACCGTCTGCATTTCTTAGCAAGGGTTAATTCTTCTCGACAACGGTGCATATCAGACTGTTGCTATGCTAATTGGCCAATCACAATCAAGTATTTAACACAGCAGTCCAATAATAATTTGTACAAAAATAAGTATCTTACTTAAAAAAGATGTACATTACCTTCTAAAATGTAATGAAGTAAGAAGAGAAGTACAACATATAATGTGTTAAAAACCCTCTCATATGAGTGAAATTACAAGCGGTTTGTTGTATTACAAATGTCAGTTAATGTTAAGAAACCCCAAAGGCCGCCCGGCACTTCTCCCTTAACTCTTAAATCTCTCCTCACTTTTAATGGAGGGTTTTGGGAAAACATTTAAGGACTTAAGAGCATTTGTGGAAAACTCTGGGACCCCAAATCTGCAACAGTGGCACACAACAAACCGCTTGTAATTTCACTCATATGAGAGGGTTTTTAACACATTATATGTTGTACTTCTCTTCTTACTTCATTACATTTTAGAAGGTAATGTACATCTTTTTTAAGTAAGATACTTATTTTTGTACAAATTATTATTGGACTGCTGTGTTAAATACTTGATTGTGATTGGCCAATTAGCATAGCAACAGTCTGATATGCACCGTTGTCGAGAAGAATTAACCCTTGCTAAGAAATGCAGACGGTTGCTAGGGACACTGCTCTTATCACAGACTCTGGACGACTAACTGTAATGATATCAATCTGTGGAAAGAAATCTGGTTTATTTGATGTTGGTCTGTTTACTCTGAGGGAAAAGAGAAAGGAGAGGATAATAACCAGAAGAGAGAGGTTAAAAAAACGCAAATACCGCAGGCTTTGACGGAGAAAACCCACAGAATTGAAGACGGCACATAAAGTGAACATGGGACGTTTACGAGGCATGAGATATGGAGGTGGTTGAAGACTGGTGAATGGAACAGAAAATGCCAACAGACGTCCACGGTGACGAAGCAGACACACTCATTCTCGAGTTGTTTCATTTCACCATCAGTGCAAATGTTAGTTTCATGTGAGTAATGAAAGCTAGGTGAGCTAACTTTAAGAAGGCTTTAGTTATACCAGTGCTATGAACGGATCTCTAACTGTGGATTCCAACTGATTAATGGTTTAGCAGGAGAAAATAAATAGTCTCGTCTCAGGGTCCGCACCCTGTCGGGGGGGTTCCATTGCACAACAACAACCTGCTCACTTCACATTTTCCCTTACATACACAATGATCAAGTATAATGTTTCCTGCTTTTGTTAGGATTTTAAAAAAAAATCTTGGATGGGATATTGTCTCATATCAGCTCCCTTAAAGTCACGGTTTATAACCGTCTGTTTCTTTGTGCATTCTGCCTGCACTTTCTCTTACATGTTGTCTAAGCAGCAGCATGTCAACAATGCTGAAATTATTTATGGTGAGTGGATGCTTCATGACCAAAACTCAAAAAGCATTTTTACAGAGTATGTTATTACAGGCACTTGGGATACTTTCATATAGAGGACAATATGAGACTTAGAGTAGGAGCCTGCAGGTGGAGCTTTAATTTCCTTTCCTGTACATAGTTTGTCCTCCGTGATGTATGAGGGGACATGAATCATAATGCCTTGTTTATCACCATGTGCTATTTTTTATACATCGACCTCTGTGTGTGTACATATTTTGACATCATCCTCTGACACACATGAGCTGCTCAAGGTCAGATGAAAGATGTTAAACAAAAGTTGGAAACATTTCCATCACATGGAAACGTCTGCAGGATTCTGCACACCAAAACTTACCAAGCACACCGAGGCGATAGTTCATGGTTACCACGATGACGTTTCCATAGGCGGCGAGGACGCTGCCGTCAAACAAGTTCCCTGAGCCCTCCATGTAGGAGCCCCCATGGATGAAGAGCATCACAGGCTTCTTACGACGGTCTCGAATATCTGCACAAGACACATAAACAGAGGTCAGCATTTGTATTTTCATTCATCCTTTATTTGGACGTCCTTCGCATAGCAACGGAGAACGAAACAGAAGCTTAACTAGGTACTGCTGTAGCTGAGGATGGAAAGAAAACATAAATCAGCTGGTTTAAAGAGTCCATCCAAAAATAAAGACTAATAAAATAAAAACTGTTCTGTAATCATACCCTTGCAGCAGACTTCATCAGATAGGCTGTTTGTATCAGTGGTTTACTGAACATACAACAGATACGAAGAAGAAAACCTATCGTAGAAACAGCCTCAATGTGCATCCTGCATAGGAACACCAAACTTGTTTGCTTTAGAACAGGGCTGTCTGCAGGCAAGGTAAAGCAGTGAAACTCCTAAATATATTAAGTACCAGTACTCCTTAACAGTATTTATTTGTATGGTATGGTACCTTCTCAAACCTCAATGTGGGGATCAAACACTGCATCCAGTTTTGATACCCCATCTGTTATTGGTGTCTTGGTACCTATACATGCAAGTGTTGCTATGGTCCCCCCTCGCTGTATGACATCCCCACCCTTGCGTCTGTGGTTTGGTCGGAGTGGTTGCACATGGATGAGGCTGAGAGGGCTGCCAGTGCAGCCCATTTAGGCAGAGCTTCTGCACTGTGCAGGGCCTGTGGATAATTTGTATGAAAGCCAGACGAAGTGGAAACATAAATAACAGCCACAGCATCTGTTTACCCTGATGAGCTTCAGCACTCAGAAATGGGGAGACAGAGAGATAGGAGGAGAGAGAGATAAAATGGGGAAAGACAGTGAGAGAGAGGAGATGAAAATAGGGCAGTGTGAGAGAACGTGGATGGGAGCTTCAAACCAAAAACAACACGATGGAGAGGAGGATGAAAAAAAAACGATATGAGATGTTACAAAGCAAGTCATACACATAGAGTCATGCTAATGAACACTCAAATTCACACACCGTATTCATCCAGAGACACACAAACACACACACACACGCACGCACGCACACACACACACACACGCGCACACACACACACACACACACACACACACAAAGTCAACACACACACACACGCACGCACGCACACACACACACACACGCGCACACACACACACACACACACACACACACACACAGTCTTGCATAGGCAGCTGCGATGTTGAGTCGCTATGGAAA